TGGAAGCCAACCCCTGAGAGGTGGAAGCCAACCCCTGAGCGGTGGAAGCCAACCCCTGAGTGGTGGAAGCCGACCCCTGAGCGGTGGAAGCCGACCCCTGAGCAGTGGAAGACAACCCCTGAGTGGTGGAAACCAACCCCTAAGCGGTGGAAGCCAACCCCTGAGTGATAGAAACCAACCCATAAGCGGTGGAAACCAACCCCTAAGCGGTGGAAGACAACCCCTGAGTGGTGGAAGACAACCCCTGAGTGGTGGAAGCCAACCCCTGAGTGATGGAAACCAACCCCTAAGCGGTGGAAGCCAACCCCTGAGAGGTGGAAGCCAACCCCTGAGAGGTGGAAGCCAACCCCTGAGTGGTGGAAGCCAACCCCTGAGTGGTGGAAGCCGACCCCTGAGCGGTGGAAGCCGACCCCTGAGCAGTGGAAGACAACCCCTGAGTGGTGGAAACCAACCCCTAAGCGGTGGAAGCCAACCCCTGAGTGATAGAAACCAACCCCTAAGCGGTGGAAGACAACCCCTGAGCGGTGGAAGACAACCCCTGAGTGATAGAAACCAACCCCTAAGCGGTGGAAGACAACCCCTGAGTGGTGGAAGCCAACCCGTGAGTGATAGAAACCAACCCCTAAGCGGTGGAAGACAACCCCTGAGCGGTGGAAGACAACCCCTGAGTGGTGGAAGACAACCCCTGAGTGGTGGAAGACAACCCCTGAGTGGTTGAAGCCAACCCCTGAGTGGTGGAAGACAACCCCTGAGCGGTGGAAGCCAACCCCTGAGTGGTGGAAGCCAAGCACTTTCCACCCTTCCTAGACCTTAGACTCAGTCAGTTTTGTACTTTAACCAGTGTTGGTTATGGCAGTCATTGTATTGGTGTTTAATTCGATATTTCACTATGAATATTAGTACTACAAAAGTGTGCTGTTAAAAAAATTGTTAAAATATTGTGGACTATTCAATAATAATATTGAAAAGAAACTAGTTCACATTTTTCAGCAAATTAAATTATCAAATCCAGTGATTATTCAGAGACTAAATTTTGGTAGGCCTATAATTGTTATTTTAATTCTCAAAATTCACAGATAGATCAAGTGTCGGGTTGGCTCTGTCGTTCTATACTAAAAGATTGGATTTCAATTTCCCAACTAAGCCAGACCACTGACATATATTAAATATTCTCCATACAAAAATCCCCCCCCCCCCCCCCCCCCCTATAAAAAAATTAAAAAAAATTAATCAATAAATATGCCCCCTAGGGTGACAGCCCTCTCCATCACCCACCATACGCCCATGCTTTCCCCCAAGGTCCAGATAAAAAAAAAAGGGGGGGGGGGG